ATTTAGAATAAATAATAAAGTAGATCTTATTTAAAAACTAGTTTATTATAATAAATATAGAGTTAAGACCTTTCTTATCTATAAAAAATAAGTAAACACTTGTAAAAATATATTACTAGAGACATGCTAAGATAAATAAAAATTATAATAATTTTTAAAAGAAATTATACTAAATATTTTAAATTATAATATTCTAGATTAAGAATTATTTACTATTATTTATTTCTTTAAATAATAGTAATAATATCTCAAGAGGACTTCCCAAATAATTAAGGTTCTATTTAATTATTTAAATTTATAATCTTTCATGCGCTAGACTAGAGTTAATAAAAAATAAACTTAATAGTTTATAAGTCTAATTTCTTTTAATTTTATTATTAAATATAGAATAGGAAAGTTAAATCTAGTAAACAGACTTTCTAGAATATTTATTAAATTTTAGATAGATTTTACTTCTTAAGAAGAATTTTTAATTCTGATTTATAAATATTTCATAGATGTGTTATCCCTGATAATTAAAGATTTAATAAATAAAAATTTTTAATTTAAACTTTAAGATACGCAGGGTTACTCTAGGTTTAATATTTATATAATATTAAGCTTAAAGAATCCTAATAGTCAAGCTAGTATAGAAATAACTAATTAAACTATTTAAAAAAATTTATTTTATAAAATATTTATTTTCCAATCTATAATAATACATGTATATATTATAGAAATTTTATATTTAAATATATATAATTCTAAGTTTCAAGAGATAATCTTGCATTTATAAAATAAAGATTTAAAGATTTAATAATAAAAAACTGCTATTTAATAAGAATAATTAAATTAAAAATATTAGACTATTAAGGTTACTAGTTATATTTATTTTAAAAATTATTTTTATATTTTATCTTCTGAAATATTATATTAAATATTTATCTATCTTTATTATAATAATTTATTAATGGGATACTTTGGAAAGACTTAAATAAAAATTTTATTATATAGAAAGTTCTACTGTAGTAGACTATATGAGAATATAATTAAATATATTTAAATTTATTTAATATATTAAAGTAATATAGTTTTAAAATATTATTTATATAGTAATTTTAAATTCTTATTAAATTTTTCCTATTTTTTTACAGAATTAGTAATGGATTTTATTATAAGATTATTTTTAATTATTTAATATAAATAAACTGTTGATTCTATTCTTATTATTATTAATTAATTTTTAAAATACTACTTTTTTTTTATTATTCTGTTAACTCTAATAATTTTAAATCTAATTAAATTATTCTATCAATGAGTTAAACTAGTTTTTAGACTTTTTAATAAGATTATATCTAATTAAAGTTTAATATTTACTAACAAATTTTAGTCAGACTTATTCTATAATAGTTATATAATTTTAAGACTTTTTACTGTATTTTATCTATAAACTAATAATTAAATAAAAAGAATAAACCAAACCTTAAAGTATTATTTAAAATATTATTTTATAAAATTTTTTATAAATTAGACTGTAATATTGCTAACCGCTTAATTTATATATAATAATATAAATAATATAATTATTAGATAACTATCTAATAAAGTTTTCTATGGTTATTCTCTAGATTTCTATATTAAAATTAAGAATAATTATTAATAGTAAGAGGTCCCAGCTATATAAAATACAATTAAAAAATTTAGATAGATAAGAAAATAGTTCCAGAAAATATAATGAATAGTTATAAAAAAGTAAAAAGAATACTATGATAAATATAAAAAATTATTCTACTTTAAAGAAAGAGATTTAGTTAAATTATTAATCTAGAATCTATGATTTAAGGGATTGAGAAAGCTAGCTCTAAAATTTATAGAATTTTTTTAGATTTTAAAATAAATTAGATTATAAATATATTGTTTATATTTATTTAAAAAATATAGATAAATCTATAATATATTTTATATCTTACTATTAGAGCCGTGGAATATTAGTATAGATTATAAAAAAATATTACTAATATTAGAAGTAGACAATAAAGAAAAATAAGAAATTAAAAAAATTAAAAATTACTACTAATATAATAACTAAGATTACTATTTAATTAAATAAAAGAGATAGCTTAATAAATATAATTAATAAATTTTTAAAAAAAATATAAATAATATACTCCAAGCTATTCATGATTATTAAATAAAGTAAAAAAGAATAGAACAGATAATAAAATATTATTAAAATAATAAAATCTTAAAAATATTATATATTTAACTCATTAATTTAAATACTAGACTTATAAGATTATTTTATTATTTTTTTATTAATATTATAACTAATTATAAGGGACCCAGTCTAAATTGTATAAAAAATATAATATTTATTATAAATAATAGATAATATCTTGATAATTTACACCTGAATATCTAGAGTTATATTTATAAATATTAAATAAAGATTAGGCATCTAAATACCCCATTAAATAATAGGAATATAGATAGGGAAACTATTATAAATAGTCTAAGTCTTTAAAATTATTACTATTTTTTTTTTATTTTTTTTATTTTTTAAACTATCTTTTGAATCGCTGTCAGAGGCTACCGAAATATTAGAGAAATATTTATAAATTATATCTATAATATTCTAGAATAAGATAATTATTATTATAATTTATATAATAAAGCCCGCATCTTCTGATAATAGATATAGAAATGTCTGCTTGTTATATAGGTAAAGCTTTAAATATATTATATTAATATTAAGATAGGGAAATTGGCACGTTATAATATTATATTAGATAGCTAGATACTACTAGTATCTATAGATATCTGTGATAGAACAGTCCAGATTAAGGCCTTATCTTATCGGCAGTAGCCTAACTAATGTTCTAATTCTATAATAGTCCAGCCAGTATGGTCCAGGTCCTTAGAGTAATATACTAGAATAATTATAGAAATCATAAGATTATTAGTAATAATTTAAGACCTCCTTATCTACTATAAAATAATATTTTTTAATATTAAGCTACTAATTCTTCAAGAATCAGTCTATCTTATAAATATAGACTACCTTTATCATTACTAGTAGAATCTTATATATTTAATAGCTAGTTTCTTATCTAATTAATAGACTATCTATTCTAATAAATAAATCCTATCATATTCTAATCCTTTTTTTTTAATTACTGAAGGAAGATGCCACCTCTTAAAAATTATAAAAAAATAAAAATAATTAATAATTAAATTAACTTAAAATTATTATTAAATACCATTCCTACTATTAAAGAGATTTAATAATTAGAAAATTATATTTATTAGTTAAAATAAACTAATAATTTATAATAAAGAATAATCTATCTCCAGAAAGATTATTCCTCTAGTAAAATCTTATCTAAATATTATTAATCCTCTTCCGAATCTAATAAGGAAAATAGAGAAATTAAATTTAAAAATATTTTTTATTTTATATTAAATTTTAATCTCTAAAAATATCAAGAATAGATTACTAATCTAAAATATATATTTTAAAAAATTTTTAGAAAATATTCTACTGAAAAATACAAGATTCTTACTACTATTAACTATATAGACCTAACATATAAATAAAAATAGTATTATTTTATTAATAATAAGAGCCCGGAAGAGAGACACTTACTTAAAAAATTATAATCTTAATTTAAAAATTAAATTCTTACTTTAATTTAAAATACTATTATTCTTTAATCTAATATTATAATTTAATTTAAATGGACTCACCAGCGATATAATCAAGATCTAAGAAAATTTTATATTTATTTTAATACTCTAAAGTAATATTTTCCCTGTTAAACTAAGAAAAAAAAATTTTTATTATATTTTACTAAGCTACTACTAGATTTAAATCATTATATTTAAAAATACATTCTATATTTATTTAAAAAATAAAAAAAATAATATTTACTACTATCTATTACTACAAACTATAAAATAATAGAAAAGAATATAAATAAAATAATAATTAATTTAATAATTATAGACTATACAAATAGATTCTAACTTATTAAAATAATAAACCTGTTATGGATAATACTTTAACTTATAAAAAAAACTTTATTAAAAAAAATAATAAATAATTATAATATTTTATATATAATAATATTTAGTACCTTACAAACTATTATCTTATTAAGAGTAAAAAAATCTAGTCTACTAAGATCTACTAATTTTCATCAGAATCTAAGAAAAATGTAAAAAAGTTAAAATAAATCTTATAATTTTAATTCTATTATTTATAATAAAGACTATTTATTATTTTTATATTTCTATTTATATTTAAAATAATCTTAAAATCTTTATAAACCTAAACAGTTACACTAAGGTAAATATTATTAATTATTAATTTATTAAGATTTATAAATTCTAATATACTCTAATCACTGCACCTAGAATCAAAATAATTAATTAATTAAATATTTCTATTTATAATATATAAAAAATATTTATTATTATTATTAATTTACAAGAAAACACTGAAACTTTTAAATAATATTATATAAAGATTAATAAAGATTCTTAGCTAAATAATAATCCTATTCTACTATTAATAATTATATTTTAAAATTTATATATTATTTTATTAATATAGAATCACTTATAATAATTTAATATATTATTAATTTCTATTCTCCTTATTACTAAATTTATTAAAATAACTTAAAATTTAATAAAAATATATATTATCATTAAGCTTCCTAAAAACATCTAGCTATTTAAAGAAGAATCTTATAATCTACTATTAAATCTAGAATTATTATTAATCAAATTTTATTAGTTCTATAATATTTTCTCTATAAATTCTTTTTAATAGTTATCTCCTTATAGCCCTGCAAACTATATTATTAATTTTAAATCTAATAAAATATTTTTATATAATTCTATATATTTTCTTTTAAAAATTGAATTTAAAATCCTATAGAAATATATTAAAGAAAACTTAAAATTAAATTATAGTCTTTTCAAAGTCCTGTGGAAGTTTCTATTCTTTTTATATTAAAAAAAATAATAATTTATACCTTTATATAGATTATAGAAATTTAAATAAAGTTTCTATCAAGAATTGTTACTCTTTATTTCCTATTTTAAAGATTCTTAATAAGGTTTTAAATAATAAATATTTTTTAAAAATTAATATCAAGAATACCTACTATCAAATTTATATTAAAGAAGGAAATAAATAGAAGATAATATTTTATATTTAATATAATTATTTCAAATATATAATTATATTATTTAGATTAACTAATACTTTAATAATTTTTTAAAATTATATATATACTGCACTCTATAAACTTCTTAATAATTTTTATATAATATATTTAGATAATATCTTTACTTTTTTATTAAATAAAGAATCCTATATAAAATATATCTATCAAGTACTAAAAAAACTCTAAAAAACTAAATTTTATATAAAATTATTAAAATACTCATTTTACTAATCCCAAGTTAAATTCTTAAGATATATTATTAATACTAATAGTATATCTATAGATCCTTACTAAGTAAATAATATTATTTTGTGGTTATTATCTAAAAATTATTATAATATTTAAGTTTTCTTAGAATTTTATAATTTTTATTAATAATTTATCTAAGACTACTTCCGTATTATATTATCCCTTATTTTTTTACTTTATAAAATAATTAATAAATAAAAATCTAGAAAAATCTAACTAAATCTATATAAATAAATAATTTTTTATTTTTAATTATTACTTTTTAGTAAGCATTCTTATTAATATATTTTAACTTTATAAAACCCTAATATTTAGAAACTAATACATCTAAAGAAAATATAAATAAGATTCTATTTTAATCTAATAATAAGGGTATATTCTATCTAATAATTTTTTAATCTCGTAAATTCTCTAATATTAAACTAAATTATAATACTCTAAATTAGAAATTATTCACTATTATTTATTCTTTTAAACAATAGTAATAATATCTCGAGGGGATTTCTTAAATAATTAAAGTTTTATCTAATTATTTAAATTTATAATCTTTTATACGCTAGATTAGAATTAATAGGAAATAAGTCTAATAATTTATAAATCTAATTTCTTTTAATTTTATTATTAAACATAGAATAAAAAAATTAAATCTAGTAGATAAATTTTCTAAAATATTTATTAAATTTTAGATAGAGTCCGCTCCTCAAAAGAAACTCTTAATTCTAATTTATAAATATTTTATAGATATATCATCCTTAATAATTAAAGATTTAGTAAATATAAAATCTTAATTTAAATCTTAAAATATAAAGGATTATTCTGGATTTAATACTTATATAGTATTAAGTTTAAAGAACCCTAATAGTTAAATTAGTATAAAAATAACTAACTAGACTATTTAAAAAAATTTATTTTATAAAATATTTATCTCCTAATCTATATAATATATATATATATTGTAAAAATTCTATATTTAAATATATATAATTCTAAGTTTTAAAAAATAATCTTACATTTACAAAATAAAAATCTAGAGACTTAATAATAAAAGACTACTATTTAATAAGAATAACTAGATTAAAGATATTAGATTATTAAAGTTACTAGCCATATTTATTTTAAAAACTATTTTTATATTCTATTTTTTAAAATATTATATTAAATACTTATTTATTTTTATTATAATAATCCATTAGCGGGACACTTCAGGAAGACTTAAATAAAAGTTTTATTATATAAAAAATTTTATTAGAATAGACTATATAAGAATATAATTAATTATATTTAAACTTACCTAATATATCAAAGTAATATAATTTTAAAATATTAATTATATAATAATCTTAAATCCCTACCAATTCCTTCCTATCTTTTTATAGAATTAGTAATAAATTTTATTATAAAATTATTTTTAATTATTTGATATAAATAAACTATTAACTCTATCTTTATTATTATTAATTAATTTTTAAAATATTATTTTTTTTATTATTTTATTAACTATAACAACTCCAAACCTAGCCGAACTATTCTATTAATAAATTAAACTAGTCTTTGGACCTTTTAATAAAATTATATTTAATTAAAATTTAATATTTATTAACAAGTTTTAATTAAATTTATTTTATAATAATTATATAATTTTAAAATTTTCTATTATATTTTATTCACAAACTAATAACTAAACAGAAAGAATAAACTAAATTTTAAAATATTATTTAAAATACTATTTTATTAAACTTTTTATAAATTAGACTATAATATTATTAATTATCTAATTTATTTATAATAATATAGATAATACAACCACTAAATAACTATTTAATAAAGTTTTATATAGTTATTCGCCAAACTTTTATATTAAAATTAAGAATAATTCTTAATAATAAGAGATCCCAGCTATACAGAATAGAATTAAAAAATTTAAATAGATAAGAGAATAATTCCAAAAATATAGTAAATAACTATGGAAAAGTAAAAGAAATACTATAATAAATATAAAAACTATTCTACTTTAAAGAAAAAAATTTAATTAAGTTATTAACCTAGAACCTATAATTCAAAAAATCAAGAAAACTAGCTCTAAAATTTATAAAACTTTTTTAAATTTTAAAATAGATTAAATTATAAATATATTATCTATATTTACCTGAGAAGTATAGATAAATCTATAATATATTTTATATCTTATTATTAAAGCTATAGAATATTAGTGTAAATTATAAAAAAATATTACTAATATTAAAATTAGATAACAAAGAAGAATAAAAAATTAAAAAAATTAAAAACTACTAATAGTATAATAGCTAAGACTACTATCTAATTAAATAAAAAGAGTAATCTAATAAATATAATTAATAAATTTTTAAAAAAAATATAGATAATACATCCCAAGCTATCTATAACTATTAAATAAAATAAAAAATATTAAAACAAATAATAAAATATTACTAGAATAATAAAATCCTAAAAATATTATACATCTAACTCATTAATTTAAATATTAAATTTATAAAATTATTTTATTATTTTTTAATTAATATCATAACTAATTACAAGAGCTCTAACTTAAATTATATAAAAAATATAATACCTATTATAAATAATAAGTTATATTTTAATAATTTACACCTGAATACTTAAAATTATATTTATAAATATTAAATAAAGACCAGACATTAACATACCTATTAAATAATAGAGATATATATAAAAAATCTATTATAAATAGCCTAAATCTTAAGATCTATTATTATTTTTTTTATCCTTTAAATTATTCTCTAAATTGTTATTAAAAATCACCGAAATATTAAGAAAATATTTATAAATTATATTTATAATTTTTTAAAATAGAATAATTATTATGTTAATTTATACAGTAAAGCCCACATCTCCTAGTAATAGATATAAAAGTATTTATTTATTATATTAGTGGAGTTCTAAACACATCACGTTAATACTAGAATAAAGAAATTAGTATGTTATAATATTATACCAGATAATTAAATACTAGTAATATCTATAAATATCTATCTAATATTTAATTAATAAATTATTCTAAAAAACAGCTACCTATCAACTCACATTCTTTAAATTTTTAAAACAAAGATCTATAGCATAAGCAGCCTCCATATTTTTAAAGACCTTAATAAAATTAAAACTATTTAATATATAAATATATATATAATTTATTATTTAAGCCTTTGATCTCCAGCAGCTTATTAATCTATTAAAAAATCTCTACTATATCTAAAGCATTTTCTAGTATTTCTATTAACACTTAATCATATTAGTAAATAGATAGTATATTAACGCATAGAATATTTATAAAATTACATTTCTTATTTTTTTTATAATAATATTAATAAAGAATTAAGACCTTACTATTAAAAATATACTAAATAATAAATAAAATATTAATAGTAATATTATATTTCTTTAAATTAAACTAAAAATAATATATATAGAAGAAATATATAGACTTAATTACTATATTATAAGTAACATAATACTTTATAGCTTTACGGGCATAAAATATTATAATAAAATCTTTAATTAAACAGCAACAAAAAAACACAAAAACACGATATAAATACTAACTATTAGAAAAACTATAATAATAAATAAAAAAAACTAGTATAAAAAATAAAAAAAATATATAAGAAAAGAAAGAAAAATAACAACACTAATATTAATATTATAGTGGATTATTATCGCATTAAAAATAAAATTATTTACTAATCCTAACTATAATAATAATAATAATAAATATAAATATATTATAATATTTTATACTCTTCTCATTTTACAAGAATATATTAATTATTATTCTAAAATATATTCCTTATTATTCATTATATTCCTACTACAAAACTATTTATATATAACTTTCTAAGCCAGGAGGCTCGGCTCAACAGAAAAAGAGATAATTATAATAGAATAATCTAGATTAAAACCTTATCAGTAACAACCTAACTAATATTCTAATTTTATAATAGTCTAATTAGTGTAGTCCGGGTCCTTAAAATAACATACTAAAATAATTATAAAAATTATAAAATTATCAGTAATAGTTCAGAACTTTCTTATCTATTATAAAATAATATTTCTTAGTATTAAACTACTAATCCTTCAAGGATTAGTCTATCTTGTGAATATAGACTACTTTTATCATTACTAGCAGAATCCTACACGTTCCGTGGCCAGTTCCTTACCTAGTCGACAGGCCTTCTACCCTGACAAGTAGATCCTATCACACAAATAAAATTAGAAACATATATTAATAATATTAAAATCTAAAAATAAAAAAAATTTTTTAATATTTTTATTCAACTTCCGCTACTTAGCCGTAGAAGTTAAAATCTTTAGAAATTTTAAAGAAGTTTTTTATAATTAATTTCTTTTTAAATTAACAAAAGAATTAACCATATACTTATTTAATAATAAAAACCTATATTTAATAAATATATATAATAATATAACAACTTTACTAATCTTATTAGTGATGGCATTTCGCGGTTCGGTTTGGACATTTTCTAACCGAACCGTCCTTAAAAAGGTGGCTGTGGCCTCCCTATATAGATGGACCGGCGCGGTTCGGTTTGGACATTTTTTAACCGAACCGCCCTAAAAAAACCGAACCGGGCCATCACTAAATTATCTTATTAAAGATCTAATTAAATAGTATTTAAAGATAAACTTTATTACTTATATTAGTATTTAAAATCTTTATATTATAATCTTTAGAATTCTTTTATCTAATTAATTTTTCTTAAACTAATTATTAGAGTATCCAGTATAGAGCTAAAAACTAAAAAATATTT